ATATATATATATTCATATCGTAGAGTTGAGTTTGATAATATATATCTTGTATATCTATATAATATATACACGTCAAAACGTCAAAAAAAGATGTATGGCTGGTCAAAATTTTATTTTATTGAAAATTCGATTAATTTTTAATTTTTGGACTTTATTGTCACATGTCTCCGTCTGTATCACGTGACCATGGTATACTGCACTGCAATTGGTTGTAGTTCTGGTCACGTGATACGGACTTATAAATAATATTAATATTATAAACTATATCTATTACAAATGAAAAATAATAATAGGAGCGAACCTAAGTTTGTTATGCTTCTTTGGGATATCGTCGTTTTCAAATTGGTTGCGTATCTGCTGAATTTGATCTGTTTAAACCTACGATTTTTATACAAAATTTTATATATATAAATTTTCGTATTATAAATTTGACACAGTTTTATTTCAATTTTCTCGAGACAAGAACATCAGATAGAAGTATTATGGGTCTCGATCAACTCCTAAGTTGCCCAACCTTGTTCGTAGAGGTTGAATTAAAAAGGTTTATATTATTATTAAATAAATGTATTACTAAAAAGAACAAATTCCGCCTTTTTGTTCACCTTTTTACACACAAAAAAAACTACATTTTCTTAAAGGAAAAAAACTAAAAAACCGCTAACAAAAACATAACGGTAAACCCTCAACTAAGCTTTCGGTGTGTTCTGCAGTAATATGCAGTACATTGACCGAAGATATAGTAAATATAGGATTAGGTAGAGAGTAGGATATTTTGCGCTGATCATTCTATCCATTAAGAAAATCTTTGAACAGTTTGGGCATTAATAAATTCTGAAACGATTTGAACAATCCCCTGTAAAGAAATCAAAAGCAAGCATTTAATCATTTTTATCAGAAATCTATTAATAGTCGTTAATTTGATCAAAATCATAACAATATCTTTAAAGTGACAATAAACGTTTTTAATTGAATCCTTTGAACCGGATTCGATATAAAGCAAGCATTTAAAAACTATGTATTGTTAATTAAAATCCGGAAAATCTGGAATTTTCCTCTTTAAATAGTTTCATTGACATTCTATACTCTCTCTCACTCTCACTATTTCATCCTTTTTGTTTCTAAGTATTTATTTTATAAAGTTTCTGGGGTTGAACTCAACAGAATTTTATAAATCTCATTCTGGAAAGTTTTTCCAGAAGTGATTTCTATTATTCAGCTTACAACACAACCCCCAACATTTTGATTTTAAACAAAATCTAGACAAATACAGGGTTTTCTAACAAAAAGGAAAATAAAAAGGAAAACTGAAAATCGTCGTTGATTTCGGTTCTTAAATATGAACATAGATTACAAAGAGTATATCAAAAACTGTTATGCGTCGATTCTTTGCATCTCAATACGTATTATTAGATATTTTTAAAGCCTTAATCTGATCATTAATGTGGTAGATAAAGTCTAGTTTTCTTCAGGATTAAAAAGTGTTTAATATCTCCATTGTTTCAGAATTTAAAAATGCGCAAGTCACTTTTGCAGTAAAACCACAAATGAAAATAAACAGTTTTCAAAACTCGTAATATACACAGATAGCACTAATGTGATCATTTGCTCCAAAATTCAAAGGTCCAAGTGTACTTTATAACATCAAAAGAGTTGAATTGGTTTCCAAAAGAAATATGTGAAGCGCTTTCAGAAAAAAACGTTATATGAGAATTTGAATTTTGACTTGAAAAATGCCTTTGACAAATCGAAATCATAAATTTAAAGGTGGTATGTCTGGTAAAGGCAGGGGCGCAACTAGCACTTTTGTCAGGGAGGGGGCGAAATTTTATTTTTCAATGGTGGGAGGGGGGCGGGTTACAGGGGGGCTGCCCCCCCATCCCTCCCCGTGTAGACAAATGTGTTAAGGGTTGGAAGTTGAGAAAAACAAAATTTTTGAGTTGTTGCATGCAGATTGCAGATTTGGTTAAGTGTTCAATGCAAATCGATTTTTTTAATATCCCATGACTTGTTCTTGTGTGTATTTTTTCTCCCTCCAACAGCTCTAAAATGAACAATATATGTCATTTCGTTGAATGTGTGCGCGGCATTCAAAAGAAAAATTCTGTTCTTCTGAGTTCTAGTGTTCTCTTTTCCCCGTAATGATGGTATATCTTTTTATGCGTTTCTTAGCCTAAGTTAGTCCCTGGCGTAATCATATTTACTTTATGTATATAGTCCCAACTATAGTCTAAATTCCTAATAAATTCCAACTACCTCTTTAAAGCAATAAGTGTTTATAAGTTTGTAAAGAATATTTTATGATATTATTGAATTTTGGGGAGAGTAAAAAATAAAATCTTTTTATACCTTTTTTTTAATTTAGACTGTCCAGACTGTTCAGCCTGTTTTTTCATAGAACATTTAAATTTAAAGTTCTCTTAATTAGAAGCTAGTTGATTTACATTTTTAGGACAAAGAGTAAAGTGAATAATAGTGTTAATATCAAATAGATTATCAAGTACAATAGGTGGCAACAGAGAAATGGACAAATTATACACGACGTCACAAGTGTTATATATAAAAAGGAAAACGAAATTTTCTCACGTTATTTGACATGTTGCCATCTATAGTACTAGAATCTATTTGGTTAATATCCTACTCGATTTTACATATTTCTTGAATGCAAATCTCAATGAAAAATCACTTTTTTAAATTATATATTTCAATCTGTTAAGGAAATTATTTTAAACTAAATATGTATGATAGAACAGAAGTCAGAAAAAGTATTTGTTCTGAATCTTGGAATCAAGCATTAATCTCTATCTCTTCGATATCTGATGGTGGTCTTGAATAACTTAAATCGCGTAATCAAGCTTTATTTATCCCTAAATTAAAAGCGCAACATTGGATTTTGAGACCTACACATCTTAGATAACTCTTCGCACTTGGCAATTACATATATTTATGTCGTACACTGATAATATGAAATTAACTAAATCTGCTGTCACGTTACTGCAATTCAAAAATTTTAAATTGTAAACTTTAATTATTACATTAAAAAATTGCGTACAAAATGTTTCCCAAGTTTACAAAAAATGTGGTGACGAAAATAAATAAATCTGAGGCCGAATTTGAAGAATTTGAGCCGCGGATCAAATATAGTTGGTTCCACTTAAAATCGTATTCATTGCTTCAAAATTTAAGCCGGAGCTTAACTGAAACCGGTTTTTGGCGGATTTACGACGCGGCTCAAATTCATTAAATTCGAACACTGAATCTATGTTGTTTTATTTTGATCTGTCTTTAAAAGAAGAGGTTGGTGGAAGAGGAGGTGGGAAGGTGGAGTAGGAGAAGGGGAAGTGTAATAAGAGTAGGGAAGGTGGAATAAGAGAAGGGAATGTTTGAATAAGAGTAGGGGAGGTGGAATAAGAGAAGGGAATGTTTAAATAGGCGGAGAGAAGGTGGAATATGAGGAGAGAAGGTGGAATAGGAGGAGAGAAGGTTGAATAGGAGGAGAGAAGGTGGAATATGAGGAGAGAAGGTAGAATAGGAGGAGAGAAGGTGGATTAGGAGGAGGGGTGGAGGATTAGGAGGAGTGGAGGAGATAACGAAAAAGGGAAGGTGGAAGAGGAGAAGGGGAGGAGGAATAGGAGGAGGGGAGAGGGAATAGGAGGTTGGGAGGGGGAATAGGAGGAGGGGAGGTGGAATAGGAAGATGGGAGGTGGAACAGTAGGAGGGGAGGTGGAATAGGAGGTTGGGAGGTGGAATATGAGGATGGGAGGTGGAATAGTAGGAGGGGAGGTGGAATAGGAGGTTGGGAGGGGAAATATGAGGAGGGGAGATGGAATAGGAGGAAGGGAGGTGGAATATGAGGAGGGGAGTGGGAATAGAAGGTTGGGAGGGGGAATAGGAATATCTAAACTTTTTCTTCATTTAACGAAGTGTCCTTGTATAAATGGTTGAGAGACCTTTTTACAGACCTTAACTTTTTTAATAAAGAACTTAACCTTTAATACAGCATGAGGCAGCAGGCAACTTTAATCTATCATTTTATATTATATACTCCATGAATGTTCTAGTACCATCATTATTTCTAATAGTACAATTAAGCTCTATTTTCGCACATGTTTTTCTAATATGGGGTAGCGTAGAATGTTTTTAGTAAGGACTATTAGGATTAATGATTCATCGTCAGAAACACTTGATAGAGTTCAATAAAAAAATTTATAATCCGAGAAGAATTGTATTTATTTCAATTCACCCCAAAATAAACTGTAGATGTAATTTCAAGTGATACTTTATTTGAAGAGTGGCGTTCAGATTCACAACAGTCCCCCGCCACAGCTTTCAGAATCACAACAGTACACCGCCACACCTTTCAGAATCACAACAGTCCCCCGCCACACCTTTCAGATTCACAACAGTACCTCGCCACACCTTTCAGAATCACAACAGTACCCCGCCACACCTTTCAGATTCACAACACAACAGTACCCCGCCACACCTTTCAGATTCACAACAGTACCCTCTACACCTTTAAATGATCAAGAATGCTGGACATATGTATCAATCCACTGAAACCCTGATAATCATGTTTAACACTTTGTTTACAAGCTGTTATATATAATTAAGAAATATTAAGAAATCAGTCGGATTTATTGCACACGGAGGGCTCTGTACTCGATGAACAGACCAAGGTTTAAAGGATACCATTGGAAATTGGAAATTGCTTTTTTTCATGGAGGGTAACTTGAAATTACGCTTACACAGTCCTTCACTCTAGTTTGCCAAGTCCATTAGCGCCTGATCCAATCAGAGTTCAGCCATGTGTTTGATGTCTTTTCTGAACGAATAGAAATAGTATGGTGTTAACCTTTATCTTTCTATCTAGCTAATTATCCAATTATAGATAAATCCTTATATCGGCGTTATAACAGTAAATGGAAATATTTATTTCTACTGAAACTATAGTGTTCAGTCTCAATTGTCCTGATTAGTACATATACACTTGTACGTTTGTAATAATTTTGACAAGACGAATTTTTTATTTGCATAATATTTATTCTATATTTTTTTGGTATTTTTGTAATGCTTTGTTAGGGGTGCATATTAATATCAGACGTCTGTTATTAAATTAAACTTGTGTTAAAATTCTACTGTGGTACAAGTGATGAGCAACGGCTTCGTAGCTTCATCTTTGATAATGCTTGCTCATTCAGATCTGCTTGTTCAATACATTCAGACAGATTACTCTCAGTCTGTCGGAACTTAGCTAGGTTAAGAGCAGCAATTTCTTCCGCCTCCTCAATTTGTTTTTTATATGATCTGATCTTACCTTGCAGCTGATCAATGAGCCCCTGCATTTGCTCATGGTTTTTCCGATCCTCGTCAATTCGATAGTTCAGCTCAACAATTTTTCGTTCACTTTTTCGTAGATTTTTCTGTGCATCAGAGCTTCGTCTGTTTTCAGCTTCAAGTTCAGACTCTAGTTCCCTGATCCTAGTCTCCATCTTAGAAACAGCTTTCCTTCCACCTTTCAGAATATTCTGCTCAGTTTCATCTAGACGGATCTGTGAATCCTTTACCTGGGCCTCCAGAAGCTTGCGGTCACGTTCAAACAGAGAAGCTGTTTCTTGTTCTGAACGCAGCTCGTCTGAAAGTCGTGCAGCATCAATCATTGCTCGGTTTGCCTTTTCTTCGGATAGTCTTGCTTCAGAAGTCATTTCATCCAGATCAACCTAAGGAACAAAGGAACTGAGTTCTGGCTAGAAACTCTGATATTGTAGACCTTTTATATTTCTAACTATGATTTCTATTAGATTTAAGTTTGAAACATCAAAGTTTTGCATCATTTGATTGCAAAGATAGAAGGATTAGAAAATTTGAGTTTGCGGCAAGAACTCGGTCCCTTTAAAGTAAGGGGACTGTAAATGTAATATAAAGTGAGGCTTTATTAAGAAAAGAAGAGCAGTTTACAGTGATACTCTGTAAACCATCGTCTGAGAAAAGATTATGAAGATATGCTTGTTTTTCAGTCTAAAAAAAGAGCTTTCTAATGATATTTCTATAACTGTGACTTGTGGATACATATGGCAAAAACAACAAAGTAAATTGCCAGTGTTTTCCAGATATAAACGACGATATTATCATCGTTACGAATCGCACAGAAGTGGCAAAAAGCTGATATAATATGTGAGATTTGTTAAAATTTTAAAATTGGTGATAAAAAATGTGTATAAATAATTTCTAAGAAATATCTAATAAATGAAATTAAATACATACATGAAGGGAAACCATCTCGTTTTCATACTTTTGCTTTGCTGCAGTGAGAGCTTGATTTGTACAGGTCAATTCTCCAAGTGTCTCATTTGTATCAGCAAGCTCTTGTTCAGTGAGGCGTCTGTTTCTCTCAGTTTGATCAAGGAGGGTTCTAGCCTCTTCAAGAGCATTCTGATTAGCATGTCCTTTCCTATCAGCAACTAGAAGGTTATCCCTGGCAACCTCCTTGGCCCTAGACTCTTCCTCTAGCTGTGTTTGTACATTGCGAAGCTGGAGCTGAATTCCTTTGATAGTTTTCTGGTTCTCAATGTTTGCAGCATTTGCATGTTCTAAAGCTGAATCAAGATCACATACATCCGTTTCAAGCCTTTTCTTCATTCGGAAAGCCTCAACTTTGTTTTTGGTTTCTGTTTCAAGAGCTTTTTGCATACCATCAATTTCATTAGCAAAAGTCTTTTTAGTTAATGAAAACTCAAGATCCTTTTCTTCCAATCTTCTCTCAATCTCCTGTTTGACCTGAGTAAGCTCTAACTGAGCCCTGAGCACCTTGTTCTCTTCATGTTCAAGAGCTCCTTCAGCTTCAGATAGTGCTGTTTCTAACTCAATCTTTTCGCCCTCAAGACGCTTTCTTATTTTGTCAATCTCGTGGATTGATCTTCCCCCTTCACTGATCTGATCCATAATATCCTTGATTTCAGTACACAGATTCTTATTCTCTCTTCTCGCCTCATCTAATTGATGAATTGACTCATCATAAGCATTCTTTAAACCAAACAGTTCTGAAGATGCATTTCTTGTTTCATTTTGTGCAACATCTAACTCCACTGAAAGCCCTCCAACCTTAACCTTCCACTCAGACACAATTCTGTCAAACTGTTTAGCTTTCTTCTCCATGGAAGTATTTAAGATTTGAGCCTGATCTAGCTGAATACTCATTTCCTTCAGATCATCAGTGAGTTTTGATTTAGCATTCTCAAGTTGAATAAGTTTAGAATTGAGATGCTCTATTGTATTCTGAGATTCTGAAAGACGACCCTGAACCTTCAGCTTGGACATTTCCAGTTCTTCTGCTTTAGCAACTGCTTCAACTTCATACTTATTCCTCCAGGTATCTGCTTCTGATTGGTTTTTCAATAGCTGGCGTTTAAAGTTCTCTTTAGAAGAAACCTCTTCCTCTAGATTTTCTTTAAGTTTATCAACCTCATGTTCAATATTTCTGTATTTACCAAGGAGGCAGATTCTCTCCTTAGATTCATCCTCAACCATCCTCTTCTGTTCCTCAAGAGTACTGGAAAGCCCAGAATTAACCCTAACCATCATATTGGTAGCATTCTCTAGCTCCTGCAGCTGTTGCAGTAACTCTGCGTTGTCTGTTGTCTGTCTCCGCTTGCAAGCTTCGAAATCTGCGAGAATAAGATTCGATTTTTCAATTTTCTTGTTCTCAAGATTAAGCTGGCTGATGAGATGCCGATAGGACTTTTCACATGATACCTGAAGAGAGTAAAATACAATATTTAAATTGATGAAAATGATCAAACGCCTTCAACTCTAATTTCAAATCCCTTTATCTATCTATCACCTGCTGATGTAAACTAGCAGGAACCGAAATTAATGAATTTGTACTGCTGGTACAAATCTTGAATACCCTATTCAAGATTAAAGATTTATAAGAATTTGAATCGGTGATTCAGGATTTAAACCGGCGCGGTGGTATTTAGTTTAGCGACCACACCTATTCATTATATTCAGTCCCAGATATAATAGATATAAAATAAGGTCCACAAGTTCACAACATCAAAAGGTTGCAAAGATATAAGGATTAGAAAATTAAAGTTTAGAACAAGTGTTTATCTATTCCTTTACTGATCTACAGTGTGTTCCAATAAATATAGGAATTAAGAGGAAATGTTCTTTATTTCTAAAAAATGATTAATGACGAAAAAAGATTTTGAAACCGCAAAGACCAGTAGTTGTATGTGTTAGATGTGTTCAATCTCAAGCAGATCTACGGAATATGGGTTAATTTAATCTCTCTTTGATATCCCGACAATGTCACCCCTGCAGGGATAACTGAAATTGTGGGATCAAGCATTTATCCTCAATTTTAAAAGTACCCACTTTAGATATCGAGATCTAGCGTTCAAGAATAATGATACTCTTCACAAAGATCTGACCTCAGTTGAGATCTTTAAGTTATAAAATGTAAATGTTAAAAATATGATTTATTTTCAGGGGAGTTATTGAATCTGAAGACATTTTAACATTTATTCTACTTTTACAAGTTAACATTTATCATTGTAAGTTAGAAGTCAATTTTAAAAAGATTAATCTCGACAACAATCTTTTCATAACTGAATGATGTATCCTTATGGGTGCTTTAATGACTGCATTTTATTCATATTTTTATGGCTTAAATCGATTTTTTTCATTCTGACCTAATTTATTAATTTATTAATCAATTTTCAAATTCTTTGCAAAATTATAAATTATGCATAAAAATGAATAAAAAGGACCAAAAGCTTGGTAAAATTAATATGTTTGAATTACTTAAAGATTTAAGCATGCAATTAGAGCTGGCATGGAAATATCAAGATTCTTTATTATTTCACTTTAGATGAAATCTGTTTTAAAAAGTTACAATAACCCCNCTACGTTATTTACTCTAGCTGACACTATCTTAATTTGATTATTAGAAAACTAGGACTGAGTTTTATAAATTTGAGCTAGGTCGCTGAACCACCTACCACCACCGTTAACTATAGGACAAATTCAAAATGCGTAGTTAAACCGTCATTAGACCTGGCTCAAATTCATTTCATACAGTCCCTGATGGAATTGAAACGTTACCTTAGATCTGTTAACCTCATCAGTTGCTACCCTTACATCAGCAATCTCGTTAAATATTTGTGTTTTGTCCTTTTCTATTCTAAAATAATAATATTAAATGTTTTTTATTATATTTTTATTATTATTGCATATAAAGTATTTATGTATAACTAAAAGTAGGAGTTCGAGTGAGTTTGTCCACATTTCACTGTGACATGTTTGGGCAGCTCAGGAACTGGTTTAGAGTAGATAAAAAACAGTTAGTAAACAAATCAGGCCTTCCCACCCAGCCCAGATAAGTTTTGACTTTTGTTTACAATATTTGTTATTGATTTGATAAAATTAGTTCCTAGCAGTCTTAATTTGTCAGAACAAACCCTATCCCCTGTACACACCTTGGTAACATTAATATGTTTACTTACTTAGATTTCATCTTAGTTAATTGATCAACTTGCTCCGTCATCTCTGCAACTGCATCCTGATGCTTCTTCTTTAAACTGATCATTGTAGCTTCATGCTGAATATTGCATTCTTCAAGATCCTTCCTTAGCTTGGAAACTTCAGCAACTCTTTTCTTGTTGAGCTCAATCTGAGCAGCAGTAGCACCCCCAGCTTCGTTCAGTCTTTCGCCAAGATTCTCAAGCTCTCTTGATAAGTCTGATCGTTGCCGTTCTGCTTTAGATCTTGCCTGACGCTCAGATTCAAGCTCTTCTTCCAATACCTCTATTCTTCCTTGCGCTTCTCCAACTGTCTGTTTAGCCTTGCTGATAAGACCTTGTTCATTATCTAGCTTGCCTGATAGAATTGAAAACTCTTTGTCTTTCTTAACCATAGCAGCTTCTAGATCTTTCTGAAGACGCTCTAACTCTGTAACCGTCTCTTGAGCAACTTTTAGATCACTTTCAACTTTTCTTCTTTGCTTTTCAACATTTGTTCTTTCTCTCTTTTCTTTTTCAAGAGATGATTCCAGGTCATCAAGAGTATTCTCTAACTTATTCTTGATCATAATGAGATGATCCAGTTTCTCATTTGCTTCCTGTAAATCATCAGAGGCTTTAGCACTGGTTTCAGAAATTCGTTTTTTCTCTTTGTTCAACTTGTTTATCAGTTCATCCCGACCTGTTATTTCTTCATTGAGTGATCTGATAGAGAAATCTCTGTTTGATTTTTCTTGCTCCAGCTTCTCTATAGCAATCTCTAGGTTACTAATATCTTTTTTCACAACAGTGCACTCTGCCTCAAGGGTTTTCTTGTCTGTTGCCGATTGAATTCTGTTTGCTTCTTTCTTTGCCAAGGTTTCCTGAGCTTCTTGAAGCTGCATTTCAAGTTCTGCTTTCTCAGCAGATACCCTAGCTTGCTTCTCATGGTATTGAGATATATTTCCTTGTTCACTTTCGATCTGTTTCAAGAGAGCTTTAGTTTCCTCCACAATTGTCAAATTTTCTTGAAGAAGACGATCTTTAGTATTCAACTGTTCCATGTAAGAATCATACGTTGTTCTCGATTTCTCTTCAAGAAGTCTCAACTCTTCTTGAGGATTTGGTAATCCAACGAGTGGTCTTGTCTTCTGAATTATAATAAACCAACCCCAGTCTCGGAGTGCAGCGTATTTTCTAAACTGTTGCTGACAGATTTTGATAAGATCCCTTTGATCCCTTCTCTTTACAAACTCCTTGTTTCTAATGAATTTTAATGCTTCTCCTTGAAGGAACCTGACAAGCCTTATGACAATATCATCTCGTTTTTCTTCTAGGAAAGCAAGAGCTCCTGCTCTGAAGAATACCAGGGTGTGTCCTAAACGATATCTTTCTCTGGGAAATTGAATCTTGTCCAGCAGGGCATAAGATGAGGTTTTATTATCATTTGAGCTTGCAATCTCAGCAGAACCAAGGATTGCATATCTTATTTTGAAATCAGGATACATCATTCGGTTTGGAAATCCTCTCATGCAGATTCTAATTCCCTCGAGTACTCCATTACAAGTGAGCTGGTGCATAATCAAGGGAGGTTCAACATCTCCTGGCTTTTTATGAGTATTTGGTACAAGGCATCGGACAAAATGAGGTTCACACATATGGAGTGTCTGCATAAGTTCACCCAAAGATACAAGGTAAACTGAGGATACAGTTTTACCACCACCTCCCTTCTTCTTCTTCTTTCCATCATCTTTAGGAGCTGTAGAGGGTTGTCCTGGATGATCTCTCCATAGATGAACTAAAAGTTCAATGCTCGAGCTCGACTTAAAAACTTCCACCACAGAATCATTTACAGGATCTTTGTTCTTTTCCAGCCAGCCAGTAACATTGTAGGATACAATCCCAGCATAATGGGAAATAGCAAAATGAGCATGTTTATCAGTTTTGGATTGTGGTTTAAGAAATATTGGTAATTTTCCTAATGATGCTTTAAGCTTTTCTTCAAAAGATTTATCCGTGGCTTTTGGAAAAAGAGATTCCTCTTCAAGAATAGCCCAGAGTCCCATTGGTTTTTCAAACATAACAATTGCAGCTTGCAAGTCCATTCCGAAATCAACCATTTCCCAGTCAATACCTTCCTTTACATATTCTTCCTGTTCAACAACAAACATATGATGATTAAAAAACTGCTGAAGTTTTTCATTAACAAAATTTATAGATATTTGCTCAAATCCATTGTATTCAAAGATTTCAAATCCAGCAATATCTAAAACAGCGCAAAAGTTGTTTTTCTTCAGAGTTGGATCAATTAATGTATCATTACATTTCTCAATTAGCCACTTGAAGACCCTGTCAAAAATTGCCCTAGCAATTCCTCCTACAGCATTGGTGGCTTGCTCACAGGACTGTCCTTTAGTGACCCATTCAGTTCCAACTTTTATTCTTGGCTTGCAGAAAGCTTTGATCATTGCACCGCTTTCAACCCCGCACAGGGCAGCTGCTTTTCCTGGAAATGTATCAGGCCCACTGTGTTCACACTCTGCTTGATCATCTCTTCCCTTGGTTTTGAATTCAATTCCTCCAAAGGTCATTACTGCAGCGGTGAGCATGTAACAGTCAAATTTCTCCTGTTCTTCAAATCCAAGAACGTTGAAAGCATCCTCGGTAAACTCAAGCTCTTCATTGTCATCAATAGAATCTACTTTGGTTTTACCCTGGGACACATAAGTGTAATCATATATGTCAGAGCTAAGATGGCATTTAGCCTTCAACCCTCCTCCAATACCATCTCCATATGGTTGGAGTAACTGGTAGAATATATGGTATGATCTTTCTACTTCTTGCTGTTCAGTGATTCTAGATTTCTCAAGCAAATATGATACAATGTCACAACCAGCCAGCTTTCCAGATGTTGTAAAATGAATTCGAATAAATTTTCCAAAACGAGAGGAGTTGTCATTCCTGGATGTTTTGGCATTGCCATAGGACTCCAGAATAGGATTCGTTGCAACAATTTGGTCTTCCAATGACACTTTCTTCTCAGATTTCTTACCAGACCCAGTAGCTACCATGGCAAGGTAAGTGATAACTTTCTTGGTGTTTTCAGTTTTTCCAGCTCCAGATTCTCCTGTGATCAACATAGCTTGGTTCTTAGAATTATTCAACATGCCGCGATATGCAGTTTCAGCAATAGCCCAGAGATGAGGAGCAACTTCATTCCGTCTTTTGCCCAGATAGATCTTAGCCACCCTGTGAGTGTACAAGGGATACCGCTTGTAAGGGTTGACGACAACAACAAAAAGACCTGAGTAGGTATGGATCATCTTGGCTTGGTAACGAGTTTTCAAGTTCCAGAATACAGAAGCATCATTGAGGAAAGTGAGATTAACCATATCTTCACATTTCTCAAATTTAGGTGGGTTGACTTTACCAACTTCAGATGCCTTATGGGTAAACTTCTCATGACCAACTGAAACAATACACTTGCTGCCAGGATCTTCAAGGTCTCCAGATTCCAAGCAGCCCTCTCTGTATCCCCCGCTCTTAGGATCAGGAATCCAAACTGATTTCTTAGAATCATATGGTTTCTGCTGATCCGCTCGTTTCATCTCAACAGAGGGAACCAGAAACTCGGTTGGGTCAGGATCAGGCTGACCGGATTTGGTCAGCTTGATATGACCTGGCATTCTTAGTTTTTACAACCTTAAACACAAACTATATTTTTGCAACCTGATGTGCAAACAATTCGGTAAACTTTAGCTACTAGATCTTGTAGATATTATTGTTTGTACACTGTACAGGGTGTCCTGAAGAACTTTGCAGTAAGGGTATTGCGTGCTAGAGGAACAATTTTCGTTTAATTTTCACAATCAAGGTGTCATTGGAGAGCTATGTATTGTAGTTATTTCAATGTGTACATTTTATTCTTCTAGAACTCATACTTTTTATTACAATCACTGCTTTGAGTATAAGTCAAAAATCTCAAAATTTAAACAAGCTAAAAAGTGTTTGCCTAGATGTGTTGGATCAAATATTTTTATGAATAAGCAAGCTGTGTAATGAACTGATTGATTTCCAAAAAAGAAATATTTTTAGATATTTTTGTCGACTGGGCAAAGTTCTTATAGGCTATTGAGAAAACTAGCGTTATTTTATTTAATTCTTTAATGCTAATTTTATTTTTAGGTTGCTGTAGCTCAAAAAACAATAATCGCTGAACCAAAAGTTTAGCTCATTAAAAAACCTCAGACCAACATTCTACTTTTAAAAATAAAATTTACGAAAATCTACCATTTTCTCATATTCTATGAACAAATAAAAAAAAGTTAGAAAAAAACGAAATTTTTTAATCAGGGAAATAACTAAAATATAATGCTTTCCAATGATACCTTGATTGTAAAAATTTAACAAAAATTGTTCCCCCAGCACCCAATACCCGTTTTTTTGAGACACCCTGCATATCAATAATCTATGACAGGTTGCAAAGATATACGGGTTAAAACATTACAAGTGTTCATATCTTTTAAATGTATAATATAAATATAAGACACTACTGCTTTTAATCTATATATAAATTTGGCTTGTCTGGTTGTTAGTCTGTCTGTCTGTCTGTCTGTTTGTATCCAATAAACGTCAGAACGGCTGAACCGATCGGGCTAAAATTTTATGTGGGACATCATGTGACCACAGGGAAGGTTTATGAATGATAAAAATTTTTAAAAAATGTGTTTAAAGGTTTTTAATTTTGAAAAAAAATTTAAATTCTTAAAAATCCGCGAATTTTTTTTTTAAAAATCCGCAAAAATTTTTTCTTCTTTGTTTTAAAATGTAAACAAAAAGAACATGTTCACAATTTAAATAGAAGATGGGCGCGAAACGCCCTAAAAGCCTAGAAAGAAGGGCGCGAAGCGCCTTGAATTTCTAGTTTAAATATATTATACTAAGTCTTCAGGGCGCTACGCGCCCATTTTCTATTTCAATTGTGAACAAATTTCGCGGATTTTATCAAAAAATTTCGTGGATTTTCAAAATTTTCAAAAATAGATGGAGGAAAATTTTTGATAATTCGATCATTCATAAACCTTCCCTGGGGTCACGCGAGGGCCTACACAAAATTTGGGCCCTTTTGACCTTCATTGGATACAATCGGACAGATGACAAACAAACAGACAGACAAGCAAAGTATATAGATAGAAGTAATACTTTTCTTCTTAAATAAATTTAGCTCAGGTGTAAGTTTCTCTTTGTATTTTGCTTTCAAAAATCGAGGTTTTGTGTATTCTTGAGAAATTTTTATTTTCCTAACCTATACTAAGCTTCAGACTGGACCAGTAATAAGATTTGTCGGTAATTGGACAGGTTTCAAAATAGAGAGATTTGCTTTAAAGGTTTTCCAGATTCTGCGGAGTGAAACAGATTTTACAAATGAATGTGTAATAATTCAATTGAATTCATTCCATAAAACCTAAACCATAAATACAAATCTTATAACAGAATACATTCACTGCCTTCAGTTTCCATTTTCTAGTTTAAATTAGAATAGTTACTTTTAGAATAAAGTAAATTTTTTTTTTTCATTGCAAAACAACAACAAATAGTCAAATTTCCGCATTTTTGTTAATCATATTTCTTCTGTTAAGTTAAGCCATATTGAGAGCGACCAATATTCCATTATATATATATATATATAAAAATATTTGTTTCCCCCCCCCCCTCTCTTTCACTGAGTCTTGTCTAGAGGAGGGTTGAAAAAATCCTTGTTATTCACTTTTGACAAATTACTAACATTATTTGTATTATCAATTTCTATTATAAAAGTGATTCTATTTTCTTATAATTTTTTTGCAAACCCCCACATGCATATATGTTTTATGCTAAGCTATTTTGCATTGTTTCGCAAGCTATTTTCACATTAAAAGATTGTTTATTGTGTGCTGACAAATCCCTTTAAAGTTCACCTCAGAAAATATCAAGATAAATAAAACTATCAAGAATGGACAAAAAAATCTGGAAAACTTGTACAACAAGATCGAATATGTTTCTAAACAAATGTAGAAGATCAAAAATGTAAACAAGATCTAAAATGTCTCCTGTAAACTTGAACAACAAGATCTAAAATATCCCTGTAAACTTGTACAACAAGATCTAAAATGTCCCTGTAAACTTGAACAATAAGATCTAAAATGTCCCTGTAAACTTGAACAACAAGATCTAAAATGTCCCTGTCAACTTGTACAACAAGATCTCAAATATCCCTGTAAACTTGAACAACAAGATCTCAAATATCCCTGGAAACTTGTACAACAAGATCTAAAATGTCCCTGTCAACTTGTACAACAACGTCTAAAATCCCTGGAAACTTGTACAACAAGATCTAAAATATCTCTGTAAACTTGTACAACAAGATCTAAAATATCACTGTAAACTTGTACAACAAGATCTAAAATCCCTGGAAACTTGTACAACAAGATCTAAAATATCTCTGTAAACTTGTACAATCCCTGGAAACTTGTACAACAAGATCTAAAATCCCTGGTAACTTGTACATCAAGATCTAAAATCCCTGGAAACTTCCTTGTATTAAAAAGATGTAAATTCTATGAATCTTTTTTATACTGCAATAGAAAATAATTGATTATCAGCATGAAAAACAAGGTTTAAAGGCTACTGATATGACTCGGCCATTTTAAATTGAAACTATGTCGACAGTCCCATAAAGATCGGAAAAGTTAAAAAATCCATTTAAAAAAAAATAAAGTGGTGTATGGAGAGAACTCTTAGACTCTAGCTCCGTTGATAAATGTTTATTTGATAAACTATACTGAAATACAATAACGGAGAGTATTTATCATTCTAAGGTTATTGATTATATTTCTATTATACAGTTTTACAATATGTATACAATACACAATACTCTTTTGTACAGGAAATGTTTTAATCTATATTGTACGATACAGTTCGTACAGTATAAATATACCATCACGCTCTCCAATTTAAGAGCAAATACTATTCACAACAAACCTTTATCTGATCCAAGCAAAATTGAATAGAAGGAGGGGGCGATAGGGTTTCCGTGCACTTTGCTGTGACGTTTTTGGACTGCTGAAGAACTAGTTTTTGCGTAACAACAATAACAAAGGCAGCCGATCTAATGTAAACAAACATGAGTTAGTATACGGTGAATCTTCATCTAACGCCAGAAATGCCAGATGTTTGTTTATCATTTGTGTTATTGCTTACAATCTTTATTATTGTTGTTACGCAAAAACTAGTTCAGCAGTCCAAAAACGTCACAGCAAAGTGTACGGAAACCCTATCGCCCCCTCCTTCTATTCAATTCTCCTTTATCTGATCAATGTGGAAGATATAAAGCTGAATTACTAGTTTGAAAAGTGTTTAGTTTCCTTAATTTTCCTCATTGTTTTTATATTTTATATTTTATATCTCACGCATTTTTGATTAGACAGAGATTTAAGGGGAACCATTAGTGAATCGGATTTGCCACTCTATAAATGGAGAGTCACTTGAAGTTACGTCTGAAGTCCCAGTAAGAAGTTGTGCTGGTAGTTTAACGTTGTACATGTACACAGTTAGCTGTACATGTACACAGTTAGCTGTACATGTACACAGTTAGCTGTACATGTACACAGTTAGCTGTACATGTACACAGTTAACTGTACATGTACACAGTTAGCTGTACATGTACACAGGTAGCTGTACATGTATACAGTTAGTTGTACATGTACACAGCTAGCTGTACATATCAACAGTTAGCTGTACATGTAATAAATAAAAGATTTTAAGAAAGCTGCCCGACTACTAATTCCAAATATATCTGGAAATAAAATACACTAATTACGTTTGTAATTGCTTAAAATAACATAAAACATGTTGCTTCTGGAGAAGTCCCAAAGATTTTAAAATGTGTAAAATTTATATGTTTGAGTTTAAGACAGGTGTGTTCTGGCCGGCGTACTATAGCTGGGGATAGGCATCGTTTGAGTATTTTTTCAAAACGATCGTTTTAGATATTTTTTCAAAACAATCGTTTCGGATATTCTTAAAAACGATCGTTTTAGATATTTTTTCAAAACGATCGTTTTCCGTTTGGAGTGTTTATTTTAGGAGTCGTTTTGCTAATAAAACGAAACGATTTCCTTTAAATAAATCTTTTTTTTTCTTTCAAAGCGAAAACTTTCAAAAATGACCGTTTTAAAATTTTCCAAAATGACAACATTTAAAAACGATCGCATTAAACTTTTTCAAACCGAGTTTTGAAAACAAAACGAAATTGACCATCCCTAGATAGCTGGGTAACCGGACACCATCGTAAAATATTGTAAAAACAATTCACTTAAAATATTTATCTATAGTTCAGTATAGTTTCACAGTTTTAAAGAAAAAAACCCAATCTTGAGATGTAAATTTAACCCAATCTTGAGATGTAAATTTAACCCAATCTTGAGATGTAAATTTAACCCAATCTTGAGATGTAATATGAAGTCAAACATTATATCAACACCGTTTGTAGAAACAAGGCGTATTTTGCGGGAGAACATTTTTTATTCTTAATCTTTTTTTGTAAAACATTCTAGCTTATCATTATCATTATCATTTTTTTGTTTGTTTTTACCATACCCTAGATATTACCCTATTTTACCCAATTTTACCCAATTTCACCAAATTTTACCCTATTTTACTCAATTTTTCACTTTTATACGTTTCAATT